ACAAAAAAGGAGAACACATATCCCCTTAACCACTCAGGTACCTCAACCACAATAAATTTGGTTGGCCAGGATGATAACTGTTTGAAACCACAGTCAAAAGAGGAAAAGGATATAGGGCAACAGTGGGAGGAAGGAGGAAAATATCTGGCCTAGAAACAGGCAGGAAACAGTGGTTTTTGCATTGCACAAGGAAGCAAACAGACATCCAATAACACAGGAGGCTGTGATGGTTGCAATGCCCAGTCCTGAACCCAAGAACCATAGAAAATATACCAAAAATATACCTTTAACATGGAATGAAAAACCTTTAGAGGTGAAAAACTGACAAACAGCTCAATGAAAACATACTCAATGGGAACATTACTTTTTTGCACAACTCCTAGAATCCTTGTGGTGTCCTGGAAGAGTGGATCCTGGGAGATGTAAACCAAAAATCATTTCCTAAGTTCTCAATGCGCACTGCACCCACTCATGCACACACACACATACACACAAAACCACACACCTTATAAAAGGGGACAAAGTATTATATTGATTTTTCTGGACCCAGCAACTGGCTGACGTGTCAACATAGAGAGTTCTCAGAGGGTAAAACTTTGAAAATCCTGAGACAGAGGACAGCATCCTGCGACATATGCAAACATATGTTGTGTAACACAAGCAGAGTGAATTTTATGGACCAGTGATGTCAATCTTCCTAAATTTCACTCATGCAGCCAAAAATGAATAATTTAACAGGTTGTATCTCTCTTATTCAAAATGCTTCGGATCAGAAGTGTTTCGGATTTTGTATTTTTTTTCCAGATTTTAGAATATTATATATATATATATATATATATATATATATATATATATATCAAATGAGATCTCTTGGCATTGGAACCAAGTCTAAATGTAAAATTCATTTGTTTTATATACACCTTATACACATAGCTTGCAGCTCATTTTATACATAACATTTTTAATAATTTTGTGCATGAAACGAACCATCCGAAAGCAAAAGTGTCACTATGAGCGTTTTCACACAGGGCTTTAGGCGGACGCTAGCCTACCTCCGTCTGGCCCCACTCCGGCTCCTTTGAAAATTTTTCAGACGACGTCGCAGCAAGCCCCGCCCCATCCAGCGCCATCCCCGGCGCTAGCCGGCGTCAGTCCGGGGTCTTGCTCCGTGTGTTCACACGATGCCGCAGCAAGCCCCGCCCCATTTAGCGCTAACTCTGGACGCCCACCGGCATAAGCCCCGGAGTTGTAATTCCTTTTTTAAAAAGGAATTAGGTTGCTGCCGCCGGAGCCATTCCAGAGTGAGCTGAAGGATCCGTTCCGGAATGACTCCAGGCTTGTGTGTGAAAACGTCCTATGTCAGTCAACCGTGTGGACAATTTTGGATTTTGGAGTGTTTTGGATATTCAACCTGTACTATTTTCTTCCTTACTGTGAAAAAAGTGTCAAAGTCTGCTCAGTTTTCAAAGACTATTCACCATTCAGGAATTATTTTGTGTAAAAAAAAAAATTGTATTTACTGTGCATCCCACCCCTGCCCCACATTTTCTACACATGAAATTTATTTTCTGCATATAAATATTATTTTCTGCACAGAAAATGCTGTTTTCTGCACACAAAACACAGGCATTTCTCCAGTAGAATAAGTCCCAAACTGCAAATATTCTTGTCTGACTATGATTCTCCTTACCCAAACCTATTTTTTTCAACCATTTTCCAAATAATTTTCAAATATTCTTCCCATCCCTGTAGTGGACAGTGCATAACCGTCGTATCCTGGTGCTGATGATGGAAGCGGAATTCGCACACAGAACTGTTGTGCATACAGATGTATGTCAGTGTTCACTCAGTAGTGTGCAAAAGGCACACTGAAATTCTGCCACACAGTGGCAGCCATACCTGTTGGCCACCAACATGCATTCATTGCACTATGGTACTACTTTGCACAGGGCTGCAAGTGGAACTGTAATGTAACTCCAGAGGAGGATATTTCTGCTCCACTGAAGCAATGTAGGGCCTCAGCCACAGAAGTGAGCCTTCATTTCACACTTTCAGGGCTACAATTAGCAGTCCTGCTATTGCAGGTGTGGAGAAGTGTGGAAGGCTAGGGGGCCATATTAGACTCCAGGGCACTTGAGAGACCATTCCACCCACCATATTCACACTGCAAAAAACTAATGTTTGCCCTAAATGCTTCCCAAATACCCTCTATGGGGCATGAAAGGTATTTTCATACCCCTCCCAGCCATTTTAGGACCAGGGAGAGACCCTATTTCAAAACATGAAATGGCCAGAAGTCACTACTAGTTTACCTCCAGTTTTTTTTAAAAAAAATACCTGTCTTGGACCTAAAATAGCCCTTCCACACCCTAAAATGTGATGAAATGCTCCCCACACCCTCTAGCAGGCATTTGGTAGCAAAAATATTTACATTTTTTAAAAAAAAATCTCTGGGAGGCCATGGGGCCAAAAATAAACTGGATGCATTTTTCAGTTACCGTATATAATCATGTCTAAGTCTAGAAATCTAGTTCAAAAAATTGAACCCAAAAAAACTGAGTCAACTTATCCAAAGGTCAGTATAAGTACTGTATGTTAATTCTCATTTAAAAGAAAGAACCATCCCCTGGTGAAGGCAAGAATACAATCTGTTCTGGAAGCATCGATTCCCTCTACTCTCTCATTCATCCAGCCTTAAGAGTGAGCACAAAGAGCTATCTATGTCTGCTGGAATTTTGTAAGTTCTTTGACATTGTTTTGCTTTGCTTCATCCTTTAGATCCTTTGCTATATGCCCCTAAGTTTTACCCTCGACGTATCCATGGGTCATATCTAAACCCATAATTTCAGCCCCAAAACTTGCCTTCGACTTTACATGAGGTCAACTTATAGTCAAGTATATATGATACATTTTTCCCACCCCTTTTCTGATGGGAAAGAAAACCAATTTACCTGCCTCGCCAAAGCCAAGAGCGTGAAGAAGAAGACAAAGAACGAGAAAGCTCCCATCACTTTGGGTTCCTTCAGCACCCCAGGCCTGCAAGTGGAGGATTAAAGAGAGGAGAACATCACACTTGGGTCATCGCACATGATCCTTCAGTTTTCTCTTGACAGAGAGACACACAACAAGAAGAACTCGTTGCAGGCATGGAGTCATGATCACTTTGTGTGGCACACTCTCCATTTGTTGTGTGAAAATGTCATTTTGCGATAGCTATCTTCACAAATCAATTTCAGTCCCCACAGTATCCTGAGGGAAAGGATTAGAGCTGTATCTGTACAGCAGAAATAATGCAATTTGAGACTACTTTAACCTGATGGCTCCATGCTATGGGATCCTGGGATTTATAGCTTGTTGTGACACCAAAGGTCTCTGAAAGAGAACGCTAACTATCTCACAAAACTACAAAACCCAGACTTTCATAGCATTGAGTCATGTCAGTTAAAGTAGTGTCAAACTGTATTAATGCTGCAGTGTAAGTTCAGCCAAAGGCTCAAGGTAGGCATCCCTGAAGACTACATTCCAGAGATAAAGTTTTAAAAATGTAGACCAACCTTTGGAAACGTGCTCTGCAACTTTCTCAGATCTCTAATGGGTTTATTGCCTCCAACATGAATTTGTCTGATCTCCTTTCAGAACCATCTCAGCTAGCAGACATCATCACAACTACACACAATGTATAATTCTGTAAACATCTGTTATGTTTTGTCCTGTCATACAGTTATCTACATTTAAAATTCACCCTTCCATTGTGCTCCAGGTAATATGTGTGGCATGTATGATTCTTTTCCACTCAGTATTATTCTCACAACAATGACCCTCCAAGAGATCAGGCTGATAAAAACAGTGATTTGACCAAGGTCACCCAGTTAGGTTGTCAGGTCAGCAAACATTCCTAAGATCTGAAATTTCAGAGCTAACCCTTAAAATCCCAAGGGTGATGATATAAAGGACCATCTTTGATGGTGCCATTAAGCATAATACATTAAGCATCAATTGCACAGGATCTCATCACTAACATCATAATCATGGCAATGATTAGGGTATTTTTGCTTTCTTTGTGATTATGTATTCCTGCATGGAAGGGGGTTGGACTGGATGGCATTTGTGATGTCTTCCAACTCCAGGATTCTACGATCAAGTCCCTCAATCATCTTTTGGCTGCCCTTTTCTGCACCACTCCTACTATGGTCCATCAAAATGGGAGTCAATCCAGTTCAGAGATTGGAAAACACTACCAGCACTATTGCAGGTAGCCTCCCCTTAATTTCTGTCTTTATGTTAGGAGTAGGCTATGGACTTCATGAGGACTAGTTACCTGAGAGCTGTCTGATTAGGGTAGAGACAGGAGACATAGCAGTCAGAGAGCCATGAGTGGGTGTGAAGGAACAGCACACTGTAGACCACAAGGCAGAGGGTCAACATGGTCAGCTTGAGCTCGAAGTTCATGTGCAGGAAGAGGGAGCATGAGAGGAACCCCAAGATACAGCAGTAGATGTAATACTAGAGGGAGATGAGAATAGGACAGAAATAAAAAGGAATAACTGTTAAAAGTTTACCAGCAATAGGTGAGAAATACCAATGAAGTATTTCCAGAAAGATATATACTTACTGGCACACAGAAGAGGATGTCAACGTGAATAAACTCTCGTGTGATGTTCACGCCAGCCATGGTGGGATTTGGAAGTTTTGAAAAGCACGAGATCTCTGGCATAAAGAACTAACAAGCAGTGACAGGAAAAGAGCATTAGAAGGGATGCTGTGAGGTATATGTGAATTAATTTGAGTTGCCCAAAGACAGGAGAGCAAAAGGAGAGTGCACTGTGGCTTAGATCCAGACAAGGATTGTATCTGTTCTATTATTGTTGTTCTGTGCCTTCAAGTTGTTTCTGACTTGGCAACCCTATCATGAAGTTTTTTTGGCAAGTTTCTTCAGAGGGGGTTTGCCATCTGAGGATGAGAGCGTGTGACTTGTCCAGAGTCACCCAGTGGGTTTACATGGCTGGGCTGGGATTCGAACCCTGATCTGCAGAGTCATAGTCCAATGCTCAAACCACTATACCACATCAGCTTTTATCTGCCCTAGGCAAGTGCTTTGATATCACTTGTAGTTTGGTGAGGGAATTAGAATTCTCTTTTGGGGAGCTTGAGGTCTATGGATCAGGAGAAGAGACTAGAGTTTTCGAGCAGAGGATTCTAAGTACAGTGGGCCTTTGATATCTGATGGGCTTTGTTTCCAAGATCCCCTGGGGATACCAAAAATCCATAGATGCTCAAGTCCCATTATATATAGTGAAATAATAAAATGGTGTTCCTTATATAAAATGGCAAATACAAGGCTGGCTTTTCAAGAAAAACTGTATTTTAAAAATATTTTCAAGCCATGGGTGATCGAATCCATAGATGCAGAATCTATGGATATGGAGGGCCAGCTGTACTCTTTAAAATTTTCTAACTTGCCTGCTTCTCCCCATCCCAAATTTCATAATGACTGATGAAGAATGCTTTTAAAATTAATGTTAGACAACATTTTGGTAGCCCAATAAATCTATTATCGATGTTTTTTTAAATTTTACTCAGCACCCACGCAGCTAAGTTTTTGTTTTTGTTTTTAGTCAATGCCACAAAATCCTGACTGCAATTTAATGTTCAGTCTTCCAGATTACAATCTTTCTCCAGAAAGACCAAAGAAACCTTCATTCACCCTCACCCCCTCTACAAAGAAAAACTTCAAGGATTTCTGTTTTCTCCTATGTTCTCCCACACATGTTCTTTCCCCCTCTTGCTACTTCTCTGCTTTTCACAGTCTCCCCATCTTGACAACATACCAAATTCAGAACAGCCATGATGAGAACCACAAGTATGGTGACAATGCCCAGAGAGACTCGTAGCCACGGTTGGCTGCAGACACTGGCTGAGATGGATGGAACCCAGTATAAGACCTTCGGACCTTTCAAGAAACACTTCTGGCCCAAAAAAGGGAAACATAAAAAAAGACAAGAACATCTAGTTGACCCAGATTTCAACAGGAATTCAATCCTGTTTGAATTCCAAATTCTTCTTATCATTTCACCAATGCTACCAGCTTTTTTGGTCAAAATATCTATTACATTTCAGGGCACCACTCTACTCAACCCAGCGCATTGTGTAAGATGGGCCTTATATTATTACTCATCAAACGCCTGTTGAAGTAGAATAGTCTTTGCTTGTCTGCAAAAAGAAAATAAGGAGGGTGCTAGTCTAACTTCTCTGGGAATCAAGTTCCAGAGCCTGGGAGCAGCCACTGAAAAGGCCCTCCCCCATGTTCCCTGTGTACTTGTGAGGTGGTGGGACGGAGAGAAGACCCTCACCAGAAGATCTCAAGAGTATAAACTGGTTCATAGGGGAGAATACTGTCCTTCAAATAACTTGGACCTGAGCTATGTAGGGCTTTAAGGGCCATAACCAGTACTTTGAATTGTGCATGGAAACGGACTGGTACCCAGTGGAGCTGTTGCAACAAGTGAGTTGTGTGTTCCATGTAGCCAGCACATGTTAGTAATCTTGCTGCAGCTTTTTGGACCAGTTGAAGTTTCTGAACATTCTTCAAAGGCAGCCCCATGTAGAGCGCATTACAGTAACTACACTAAAATCATTTCATCTCTTCTCCTTCTGGAGGAGGACACCTTCCATTTTAAGGACTCCACTTGAGAAAGCAGCTGAAGTCAAGCCATTTTGTTTCCTTTTAACATAAGCTTGCTTAGCATGATATCTATGGCTTTGACCATCAAGTGTATAAAAGCAGAGGGCTGCAACTTTCAATATTATTAATCGCTCTCAGACATGGAGGCCACAGATAACATTATCTTTTGAAGCAGATGCTACCCAGCCAGCTAGAAAGCCCATGACCACACACAAAAGCCATCTTGACAGTCTGGTAGAAAAGCCATTAATGTTTTATAGTCTCTTCAGCAGAAATATCCAGTAATTGAATGGCAAACACAAGGCAACTTACTGCCAGATGACCAGCAAAGCAGGTGAGAAGGAGCAGAAGAAAGAGGAAGAAGGAAATTCCATAGGATATCCCCAAGGCTTCTGTCCTGGATATGGAGAAAGTAGATAAAATACCAAATGTGCATACATTTGCATAATATGAAATTTAATTTAATGTTAATTAAATAAATTTTAAAAAAACAAAAACAAACCTATGATCTCTCCTTTTTCCTCCACTTGATCCCTACCCCTCTCAACCATCTCTTCAGCATTTTAAATTGATGTGGGTGAATGTCACAGCCTGTTTCTGCCAACCAGCAGATGTTTGGGGACCAGTGGTGTCACCCCTCTTAGGATGTTACATGGTGTGGCATACACCCCCTGCACCTCCCTTGTGATGTCCCTAGCATTCATCCCTTTCATTTATAGAAATAAAAATGGAGAAATGACTCCACACAATGCAGCAAGTACATTAGCCATATGTTCCTAAGCCTAATTGTTGTGCCCCAGCAAGTTGTTTCCAACTTATAGTGACTCTAAGGCAAACCTTGTCAAGATTTGATGAGGGGGGGGGGTTGCATTTGCTTTCTTCTGAAGCTGGGAGAGTGTGACCTGGGTTTCCATGGCAGATTTAAACCCAGGTGTCCAGAGTAAACCCAGGTGTTCAAGGCTCTCCAGATTATAAGTCTTTGCTTATCTTGTTCTCAAACACAAGAATGGATGATTTCCAGGGTTTCCTCTTTACTGGGAAATATCACAAGGGTTGTCTTTTGATGATGATTTTTCACATTTAAGGAACTTTTTTGCAAAAAAAACCCCAACAACGCTTAAAATTCTTTGTTTTGTGCAAAAATGTTGGGTTTGTGCAAAACACACCATTTTCCATGCACCCCTTTGTACCCACACCCCCATATTTCTCCTTACTTATATACCACGAGGATCTGGATGACAAAGTTGGAGATGAAAACCAGGAAGGTGCAAACTGTGTAGTAATTAAAAGATGGGAGCGCTGAGAACCGGTACTAGTGGGGGAAGAAGAGAAATGAAGAAGGACTATCATGAGCAGGATGTATTTCCTTCACAACCCCTCCACCTCATTTTACTCCATTTTGATTTGCACCAGGATAATTTCCCATGTAACCTGTGCCCTCTTGTCACCTTTCATAGAGGGGAGGGTCAACCTGTTGTTCTCCATCTCTTGTGATAATATAATTTCCATCACCCCTGAATCTGTGGCATGTTGTCTGCAGAATTCTAGTCCAACACATCTGGAGACTTATAGATTGCCCACCTCTAATCTAAAGATGTTCTGCACCCAACAAAGCTGAGAATTCATTTGCCAGATTAAGCTAAACTGTGCATTTTCTCTCCAGTGATGGCTTGGAAGACTCCTCAGTCACAAATAGAATAGGAAGATAATGAGCTCCCCCTCTTATTTGCCTCCAGTACCTGATATTATGGAGGTATAACTAGGGGAAGAATGCAGCTCAAAGGCAGAATATGTGCTTTACCAGACAAAGCGCAGAAAAGTTTTTTGTGTTTTTGGACTACAATCTAACCTCTGTATCCATGGGATCAGTAGCCATGGTTTCAGTTACTCACATCCAGCGGGAAAAAGGTCTCCCTAGGCATCTGGGGGTCCTCCAGTATGACTCTATGGTCAACTTGCACCAGAAATATAGCATTTGCCACTATCTTCAGTTCTTGCTGTATGCAGTACGTCTGGGAACATATCCCTTGCAGATACAGGGGTTGGACTGGACAACTCCCAAAACTCAGCTGGACCAATGGACATGCTGGTCTGAGTAGTGTGATTCTTGGCATGATAGTCAAAAGATGTAACTTTTCTGATGCAAAAATAGCCAGAATCTGTCCCCAGTATCTCTATACAACGCTATCTCAAAGCTTGGAAATTTGACAAGGTGCACAACAGGGGTGTACCACCCATGGGTCACAGATGACACTCTATACCCCCCCAAAAAAAATTATGGTGATGCTGTCACCACAGATAGCACATTTTACATTGCTAAAGATGGCACTGACACAGCAATCATGACTGGGGAGCAGTAGCCCTGAAGCTATCTGGTTGCTCTTCTTCTGTTTCCAAAAGATGTACTAATGCAGCAATGTTAGGCTGATGCAATGCAGAAGAAGCTAATTTGCCCAGTGGCTAAAAGCAGGCAATGTTGCTATTTCCATGCCACTGCAACAGGCAACAAAGAGTGGGGCATGGACAGAGCTATGAAAAGTTTCTTTGTTTTGGAAGAGAGCTCATAGAATCCATTAGTTAGCTTTGGGGAAGGAGAGGAGACAAAGTTGGGACTGTGGCCCCCAATAAGACTTCTGACCTCCAAATGAATTTTTCAGTTTTTAGCATTGAAGTAATTTAGAACTTCAGCTGACCATTTTGAAATATAGCTTATGTAGCTTAGGTATCCAAAGAAAATGGGCAGGCAAAGCAACCAAGGAAACTTAAACATAGCAAATATAAGAGTTCAAGGCATAAATGATCTCAACTGTCTGGACTGCTAGATATTGGGCAACCCAAAAGAAATTTCACTTGATGTAGCAGAATTATTTGGGGAATCAAAGCCTTCGTTTTGCCCTGCCCTTGCTATAACCTTGGAATTAGTAGTTTTCTGGAAGCTATAATCAAGTAACTTCTCAACTCTGGGCATGCTCTCTCACTCTCTCTTTCTCTCTCTCACATACACACATACATATATACAAGCATGCAAGCAATCACCTATGGGAGTCATTTGATGCTTTCACAGGATCAAATCCCATCAGTACCAAATGGACATGTTTATAAGCAGCAATCCTTAGATGGAGCTTAAGAATTCCCCATTGACCCTGCAAGCCTTAAGAGGTTACCTCCTTTTCAAGAGACTGGTCCTTGAAGTACAAGGTGATGCGATTCAAATCTTCTGACTTCTTCCATTGCCTAAGAGCAGCAGCATGGCAGAGAGAGAACAGAAAGGGGATATCTTCACCTGCTGTCACCCATCTCCCTTCCCTTAAAATGTAGACCTAACCAACCAAGGATTCTTTTCCTGTCTTCAAAAGCGCGGATGAAATGGACACCCAATGTTTGCCCTG